TTTCGCTTTGTAGATACAAATTACATATTAGTAAATATATATTGGAAATTCTATTTGACATAATCTTTCTAATCTATCCTAATCTAATAATGACGTTTCTGCCCCCTTCCTCTGCCGCAGAGCAGCGTGAAATTGATAAACAGATTTCGGATTTCAAAACATACTTTCGCTTTGTAGTAAATATATATCGGAAATTCTATTTGACATAATCGAAAGTTCAAGCTTACTTTTATAAAATTGCTCTAACAGTCTGCAAAAAATAATAAGCCGGATCCAATTCGAAGATTAAGGAACAACGCAATCTGCAACATTAACTGAATTAGATAACTTTAGCTTAGCGTATAAACGCGCATGCGCACAAACATATTCGCAGCTGTAAGGGTCTTATGCGCTCTCGTAAACGCCTGTGCGCATGCGTGAACGCGACGCATGAGCAGAAAGTTTGTAGCTTTGAGGTCCGGATTATAGATCATTCCGGATTATGGGTGTCCGAATTAACGACTTTTGACTGTATTTTGTCTTTGTGCAGTGGCGATTGCCGCTATACAAAGACAAAATAACAAGTCAAAGAATTGCACAAACTTGGTATCCATGTACACATTTGACCTATTTCCACTTAAAAAAATCACAGAATTGCACAAACTTGGCATTGTGCACTCTCCTGACTTTATCCATGCACACGTCGACCTATTTTAACTTGAAAAAAATTTCAGAGAATTGCACAAACTTGGCACTGCACACTCGCCTGACTTTGTCCATGTACACATTGATATAATTTCACTTAAAAAGTCAAATTAGCACCCAAGTCGAGGTAAAAGTATATTTACGAAACATTCAACTACTCAGGTTATCATAAATGAAACAACAACTTGGCGATAAATGAAGCAAGAACTTTGCGGTAATACAAGGGGTACTGTTCAGTCTACTCTAACCAATATCGCTACCAATAGTGAAGAAAATGGCCAAGCGGTTTTAAAGAATGAAAAGATTTTGATTGACAGTTTAGTGGGAATTCTGGATATGTTAATTACCATTAACTGTTAATAACAAGACTCAAACGACAGAGCTTTGTAACTGAACAAATTATACACAACTCTAAATAAAAAGGAAGTATTACCAAACAAGACAAAGTAACTTAAACAATTTACATTGAAAGAAATGTTCAACGTAACAAATAAATATAGGTCTTTTGTGGTACATTTTGATTTCCTTAGGGTAATAAATGCTTCATTCTTTCACACGTAACTATTTCAGATTTTTAATTTTATAATTCGCACATGTCATTTTACTAGATAATCTCCTGATAATCTAGAAATTCCTGTAATCTGGAATCATCAAAGTCCATGATGATTCTGAATCTCAGACTTTCTACTATATAGTACAAAGTCTGTAATCCGGACCTCAAAGCTACAAACTTTATGCACATGCGTGTTTAATGTATAACGGATGATATACGCTAGGCTAAAATTATCTAAGGTATTTCAGTTAATGTTGCAGATTGCGCTGTTCCTTAATTTTCTAATTGGATCCGGCTTATTATTTTTTGCAGACTGTTAGAACAATTTTATAAAAATTAAACTTGAACTTTCGATTATGTCAAAAAGAGTTTCCGATTCTGGAGCTGCCAAAGGATCTACAAAGTGAAAGCATGTTTCGATGTCCATTAAACAAAAAGTGAAATTACTGCAAAAAATGGATAAAGGCCTATCTGTATCAAAATTATGCGAGAAGTACGGCAATGGAAAGTCCACTATATATGACACAAGGAACTTTTTGTAGAAACAACTTATATTGAAAGAAATGTTTAATACCCTTTAGATCATAATTGTTCTTTATTTCATAAGTTACGATTTCATATTCACCAAGACTGTACCCTATACTATACTAGGATTTTACCGAAAACTTTTTAATATCATACCTTAAAAAAGGAAAAAAAAATCTGAAAGTTTTCAGATTTTAAATTACGTCCAAAGGGGCATTTTTTTAACGTCTTGTGTGTTAACTTTATTTATTAAATATCATGTTCTTTGCACTTAAACCATAAAATTCAGTTCAACAGGAATGTCACAAAATAGTTTTAAAATGAGCATGTCTTTAGAATTTCCGATATACAGTTCCATGCGCTGGAGATAAAAAGGTTTTTTCCCCCAGTAAAGTGTTGCCGCTGCTCGCTTTTAAATTGTTGAGTTTGTTAATAAAAAATTCATTAAAGTTTTACAAAATATGAAATCGATAATACAACAAATTTCAAATCCGGGCTTTCTGATGCCCATATCTGCAGTAGGATTACATTATTCAAAATTGGATGGCTCTAGGTACCATTGTTTTAATTAAAATGCTAGAAACATACCTACATTTATGCAGATTCTTCGGCTGATCTTTAGAATATGGTAACTGGTAGTTTGGCGACATTTTGGAGGTGATAAAGGTTACTACCTGGGACTTTGGTAATAATGTGAGCAGTACTCAGTTCCGATTACGCATTATTTTGTGTGAGGGAAATGAGAGATCATGGGATATGTCATGCAATATTAATGGACGAATTACGGTTCTTTAATCGGAAAAGGGGGGAATTTGGAAAAATATCTGTGGCTGTATATTATTTTGTATTAAGCTTCATTGTGTGTTGTGTGAAGTAGGGTTGAATAATTTTGGGATTGTATGGCGCTGTCTAAAGTGAATTCTAGATTTTTAATGTGTTTGTGTGATAATTTAATGCGTAAGTGTATCCACCATGTAAGCAAGATTCTGAAGAAGATTAGGTAAGTTAGTATTTTTAATTATTTGAGGTTATTATTTTTATGCATTGTTCTAAATGTAAGGTGGAAGTAAAGTAATTTGGTAATATTGGGAAAATTGTTATTAGCAATGATTTAGTTTAAAGTAATTAGGATTGTAAGCTAATTTTTATTAATTTAATGTATGTGCTTATTTATATTTTAAGTAGTGTTTTTGAATTTAATTATATTTTAATTAAATGATAGTTATTTGTGAATTTTATGTTTGTAGGAATTTGGTATACGTTTTAGTTGAAGTAAACGTGCATGGAAATAATGTAAATATTTGACACTAAGTATTTGTAATGTTTGCAGTATGAATTCGTTGGTGACGTTTATAATATAATAGATAATTTAGAGGTAAAAGTTTTTGGATATTTTATTTATTTGATACGTGGAAATGATATGGTGAAGAGTGTGCACAATGCCATTTCTCTGCAATTCTCGGATTTTTTTTTTTAAGTAAAAATAAGTCGACGTGTACATGGTTTAGTGATATTTTAATTAAATGATAGTTATTTTGTGAATTTTATGTTGTAGGAATTTGGTTATTGTTTTAGTTGAAGTAAACGTGCATGGAAAGAATTTAAATATTTGACACTAAGTATTTGTAATGCTTGCGGTATGAATTCGTTGGTGACGTTTATAATATAATAGATGATTTAGAGGTAAAAGTTTTTGGATATTTTATTTATTTTATATGTGGAAATGTTCATATTTGGAAAGGGTATATACTTTTTCGCGATCAGGTAATTTCATATATGTTCTTTTTACCGGGTTTAAAGATTTAGAAAATTGTCATGTATTTTTGTGAAATTTTTCTAATTTATGAGAAAAAAGCAGTGTACATGGATATAGTGAAGAGTGTGCGCAATGCCATTTGTGTAATTCTGGGATGTTTTTTTAAGTAAAAATAAGTCGACGTGTACATGGTTTATGTGTATGTGTTATTTTGAAAAACGCGTAAGGAGTATGGTATTGTGCACTTTTTCCCAATTTTGCAGTGAATATTTGTCATTATTAAGCAGTTTTGTTAGATAAAATTTCTAGTATAAGTGTAATTTGGCTAGTAGATTGTTGGAAGAAGTGTTGAGTAAATAAAAAGAAAAGAAACATGTCTTTACTTCGTGAAGACAAAATGGCGGCGGGGAAAAAAATAGAGGGTTGCTGTAGGAGAGTGGTGGTTCGCCAAATTTTCGCCAAAAAATCACCAAGTTACCATAATGTAAAGATCAACCTTATTTTTTCATTATTTAATTTCTTGAAATATAATACAGGGCAATAGCATTTGGTGGCAACGATTTGAAAAGTGATATGTCGTTTATAGAGTTTCAATATAAAATCGCAAAATGAAAACAATAGGCCTTCAGGGACAAAGCCCCTTCGGACTAAAAAATTAAAGGGTTAATCTTTGGATTATGGTAACTTAAAGATTTTTTGATGAAAATTTGGCGACCAACCCTGCTACAGCAACCTGCTAGTTTCTGTTTGGACGCCATTTTGTTTTCACGAAGTAAAGGCATTTGTTTTTTTAACTCAACATTTTTTTCCAACAATCTGCTAGCCGAATTACGCTTATACTAGAACTTTTATGGAACAAACGTGCTTAATCGTGACGAAGATTAGGTGCGAAATTGGGAGAAAGTGCAGAATCGCAAACTGCTTTTTAAGAATTGCACGTACACGGTATCCATGTACACGTCGACCTATTTTCACTTAAAAAAAATCCCAGAATTGCACAAAAAATGGCATTGTGCACACTCTTGACTATATCCATGTACACTGCTAAAGTCCTAGCTAGTAACCTTTATCGCCTTACCAAAATGTCGCCAAACTACCTGTTACCATATTCCAAAGATTAGCCAATTAAAGTTAGCTCTTATTTGCAAACTTGATGATTTCTTTCAGCAGATATTTCTTCATATGTATATATTTACAAAATTTTAACAATCATATATAACATCATCAAAAATAAGAATTATATTATATTTTAAAGTAATTTTGTAACTCTACTACTGAACATAAATGGAGATAAAATTTTGGCTGGACGAACAATTATTAGATTGATATTGGTTTTATAGGATTTTAACATTTGTTAGCATTTTCTTATTGAAATGGAAATCTTATAAAATTTTGTTCAACTAATCAAGGTGGTTAAGGAAACAGCTATTTAATATTAATTCACTCACAAATATATAAATAAAGCAAATTAAGTACACTTACAAATCAAGAGGGTAAAAGAAAAATACAAGATATTTTCCTTTGAAATCCTTTAACTTTAGTTCCTTAAACTCGCCTTTCACAACAGCCGTGCTTTCCCATTCTGGTGCCGGCTTTGAAACTAATTCAAAAGCAAATAAATCTGTTAAGCTTTAAAAATGTGAATAATAAGAAAATTAATGTTTCTGAATTAAAGAGTGTACAAATAATTGTCATGAGAAATTTTAAAGGTTCATATGTCATGAATGATAAAAGAAAAACCTTACTCTGTGCTTTACTTGTAACTAAATTTTGTCCAACAGATGATCTTGTAGTTTCTTGAGGATAAACATGTCCACCTCCGTATGAATAACACGCTTCTTCCGCTAAGCCAACTGCTAAAACGCTTAGAAATATTAACCGCATTAAATTATTCATTTGTTCAGCTGAAATATGTTTCCGGCTCAAAGTTACCACATCAGCTAGATGATAGCACAGATAAAACACCTGTTAATGTTGGTAATGTTTTTCTCGCTAGTTGACAACACTTACGAACGTTAAAAAGCCGGCAACGCCAAAACTATAAGGAAAAAAAATAGAGATTAAATAAATAAATGAAAAAATAGACATATGAAATGCTATACAGATTGTATTTTACACAGAATACAACTTAAAATTTTTAATTTTAGTTGTTTCTTAGTTAAAAAAAAAATCTTTAATGTTCGTGAAAATATTACGCTGAGTAGTTCCTGTAAGAGAAATTTTACTGCAAACAAGACTTTTCATTTTTAGTCCAATAGAGTGGATCGATTTCTGAAATAAGAGCGGTGGAATCTAGTCCGTCACAATTATGTACAGACACACGCCAAAGGTGTACGGAAAAGTTTACCGTGACGTCACGGGCTTCTGGATGGGTTACAATATTTGGCTTTTTATCATGTTTCGCGGTGAATTATGGCAAAGATTAACAATTTATCGTGCGATGTAAACAAACATCGAAGATTTCTTGTTAGGGTGCAAACGTTGTTGTAGTCAAAGAATATCTTAGATATTCGTTGGTTGTAGTGTTCGCTTATTAATAAATTTCTTCTGGTGATAATTCAGTTAAAATCACTGACAAAAGTTTGATAGGACATGTGAGAACTTCCATTGCAGTGTTCTTTGAATTAACATTTATTTCCTGCTAAACGTATTATAAATAAAAGAACAAAACAATTTCAATTTTTAATATCTCTGTTAGCACTTCATATAATTTTTTTAGTGGTATGAAATAAATTTTGTGCATATTGATTTAAAACTATTACCATCAGGGATACAAAACTGAGTTTTTTTTTTTTTTTTTTCCTCTTACGAAGCACTGCACTGAAACTGTTTAATTATAAAAATACTATTTTAATACTGAATTTTGAACGCATTTTTTCTGTTGATAATTTAGTTAATCGTAAAATGACTGTGCTTTCGCATAATTTAACATCATTTGTGAAGTGAATGACACTAAATTTCAGAGATGTGATGATTTTTTAAATTGTTTCTGCCTCTGAAATAAAAATTTATTCTAATGTTTTGCGAGTTTTTAAGTGTATCAAAATGTCAATGTTCCATCGGCACTTGTGCAGAAACATGGGAAATTGACTCATCGTTTGTTGTAATTATTATGTCATTTAATGTGAGCAAAATGTTGCAATGTATTTGATTTTTTTCCTTGATGAATTTGAAATTATGAAAAAATAACGTATGGTGTAGATGATGACAGAAATTTTTAATGAATGAATTTAGAAACTGTAAGATGAAAAGAATTTTACCTTTGATCTGATTCACAACTGCATGTCACAAAAACATACTTCATAAAGTATGCCGAAGTTTTATTCCTTGCAAAAAACATGATATCTATTATTCAAGTTTGTGATCAGAGAATTATTATAGAGCAATGAAAGAATATGATCTTCGTGAGGTGAGCTGTATTCTTCATAATGAGGAAAATTTGGAATTTTATTCCTTGCAGAAAACATGATATCTGTTATTCCAGTTTGCGATTAAGGAATTTTTATAGAGCGATGAAAGAATATGATCTTCGTGAGGTGAGCTGTATTCTTCATAATGTGGAAAATTTGGATGAAAGTGCAAATGAATTAATAAGGACTAACCTCCTTGGTGCATTTTCTGCATCTTCTAAATACATATTTTGAAACCATGTTTCAGAAAACACAATAATAAACTGTTTTAAGCAGGATAACTTTTACTGATGGCAAAATCAGTCACTTCCCCAAACAGATCCAAGTACAAAATATGAAAAAAATGTCTTTGAATATGATGATGAGAAAACTTTCTTACTTATTATTCCTCAAAACTGTCTCACCCAGTGCTCATAAACTGTGTATGAATGAAATTTTTCATGACAACTGCATGCTCTCCACTATTATTGAATTTTTAGCTCTTATTTCTTAATGAAAGTCCTGTGGAAACATGCAATTTTATATTTCTATTATACAACCATTTATTTAGTTAAACTGTATTGCAATTTCCTTGGGCATATTTCTCATCATTTAATATTATGATTCAGTTTTTTGCTATCAACACAGATATGGACGAATGTAATGATATGCAAAACAGTGTGTGCTTTTTTTGTAGAAAATGCAATCGAACTTTCCAAAGAGAATAACCTCTTACTTAAATAGATTTGTATTATGGGAGTGGTTATCTAAGGAAATGTGCTATTAGTGATGTTCTATTATCAGCCATTATTTTATTTTATATCAAGTATGCTAATCATTTCGCAAAGGACCTCTTCACATAAATTTTCTCTCCATTATACATGTATAAATCAACTAGTTGAATGCTTTGGCATAATCAATAAAGTATTACTACTTGCAGAGTGATGTTTTGGTAATATATTTACGAGTACCCATTGATGATTTTTGGCGGCACATGGATACCGAGTTTGTGCACATTTACCTACATAAAAGCGAGATAAAAAATTACAAATTGTCATCAGAACAAGACAGGTATAATAAAACATTGGTATAACAAATACATTTGTTATTGAAAAAAAAAAAACCCAGAATTGCACAAACTAGGCATTGTGCACTCCCTTGATTTTATCCATGTACACGTTAACCTATTTTCACTTAAAAAAAAAATCATCAGAGAATTGCAGAAACTTGGCATTGTTCACTCCCTTGACTTTATTTACTGACTGAGTATATTTACGGATGTACAGAACATTCAACTACTCAGCAATCAACATAAATGAAACAACAACTTGGCAATAAATGAAAAAAACAACATCTTCGCAATAATACAAGGGGTACCCTTCAGTCTACTCTAACCGATGCTTTATATAATTGCCTGTACTTCTGATGAAATGATATTGTAGCTTTTGCTTACAATATTTTATCAATAATTATTTTCTTTTTCTATTAAGAGCATGTATAGTCCTCACTGTACCTTTTATTACCTCATCTTTATGATATGCATTGCTATGCTTAATTTGACATCTGCTTTCTATTTTTAAATATTTTTCCTCCTCTTTTTTTTTTTTTTTTTTCCCCCAACTCCTTAAAGGATGGGTCTTTGGGAGGAAAAATTAATGTCTCCTAAAGTGTCATGTGCTGTTCTCAAAGTGGGCCAATTCTTTTTTTTTTCCTGCTTTTTTATTTTCAGCTTTCTTGAAGATAATCTTTTTAGCTCAAAGGGGCAATTTGCCCAGAAAGGCTATTAATTTTGTTTTGGCATTTTGCGTTGATTCATTATAAATGGTGAATCACTTTTTCAATTGTTGCCACCAAATATTAGAGTTTTATATTTAAAGAAGTTAAATAATGAAGAATCTGCATAAATGTATGTATGTTTCTCACGTTGTGATAAAACAACTGTGTTTAGGGCCATCAAATTTTGAATAATGTATGTCTCCATTAGAATATGGGCATCTGGAAGCCCTAATTTGGAATTTGTTTTATTATCTATTTCATATCTTGTAACGCATTTATAAGTCTTTGATTAAGAAACTCAATGATTTCAAAGTGAGCAATAGCAACTCTGTATGGGAGGAGGGAACATTTTTATCTCCAATGTGCGAGACTGTGTACTGGGAATTCGAAAGACATGCTCTTTTAAATATTTGTGATATTGCTGTGTTGAATTGAATTTTATGATTTAAGTGTGAAGAACATGATATTTAATAAATAAAGATAACACAAAATGTTAAAAAAAAAAAAAAAAAAAAAAAAAAACCTCAGGGCATAATATAAAATCTGAAAGCTTTCAGTTTATTTATTTATTTATTTTCAAAAAGTAGTCAATGGTTGATCATGTTCAGATAAATGACTTGGTGGTTTCACAAAATGAAATTTGCTGTCTGGTTCCGAAACGAAAAGTAAAACAGATCTGATGAATTGGAAACGGATGAGTAATTACACGAGATGTCAAATTCACTCAAAAAAGTTGCACTAAATGTATTTAATATGATACATAATTTGCTATTTTTATTTTCTTTTATATGAATTGTTGATAAATTATGATTAGTCATGTATACTTCAGATTGAAACTACTTTGTGAAATCAGGTAAGGTATGAGGATTGAATATTAAAATTATCGTACACAAACTTAAGAGCGTATTTCATTTCTTAAATGAGTTGAATGAAAAATTTAAATGGGTGAATTATCTGTTTTCTTGGTACATTCACTCTGCTAAAACAGATTACAATATTTGGATTTTATTTTTGCCTTGTGATTTGGTGCAGTTTTTTTAATCAAATCAATTAAATTACTACAAAAATTCAAGAGGGAGTCATACAGTGAGCTATAGTACAATGAAATTAATAAATATACAGATATTACATGATTTGTAAGTTTTAAAATGTTTTATTCTGTAACATATTACAGATAAAAAATGATTACTACATGAAATGAAATAAAAGTTCATCAAATTTGACATAATACCATAAAGGTCATTGTGTGTTCCTGTTGGTACAGGACACATATCGACCGGGTATCACAATTCTATTCACAAACATAGTAAAATTTCCCTGCTGATGGTCATCAAAGGAGCTATAATGCAGTCTTGGAGTTTTGATATTATTAGCAATAGGAGCATATAAATATAGTCTAAAGCACATTCCAAAAGCAAAAGATTGCGGAGTGTATGGTCAATGATCTCATGGTCATCTGAACAACATTGAGTCATCTTCTGATATTGATCAATCCAAAAAAAAAGATAGAAATTTATTATTAGGTATGATACAACAGTTTTCAGAGAGGAAATGTGTATTTTTCTGAATCATATTTCATTTAGAGAAATAACAACTATAACGTATTAAAATCTGACATACCTTTTACAGTGTTTCTGTAGAAAAAAAGGAACCCATGTACCTTTATCAGTGAAATGGCATATAAAATGTTCAAGTAAATATAATTTCTATTCAGTAACAGCATGACAATTTTCCATGTCCAGTACACAAACGTACCTATCCAACAAATGCTTCACCACTAGATAGTGGAAGAATTGTCTTCCATGCATACGATTGCAAAATTTATATTGCAGCATCTGTAAATAATATGGTTTTAGTTGTAATCAACATTGCAAAATCTTCCCTATGTTTGGTTATAGAACACATATTTGCTACTAATGTAATTTGTAGACCTATCCTGTTTGTGGATTACATGCAGTGTGAGCTATGAAAAACTTGACAAAGAGTTTGCATTTTATTCTATATAAACAACTTATGCAATTCTAATGAACTGTTATATTTTTTACAAAAACAGAAAAATACTAATAATTGTATATGAATGAGAAAAACGTAATATCTTTTACCAATAAATCACAAAATATCAATTTTTAAATATTTCAATACGTTTACCATTACCAGTCTCAGGTTAATCTCATTGATTTTGGAGGG